GGTAGCAGCTTTCCAGTTAGTGTAGCTACTGTCTGCCTGGAGTGGGCATTGCTCAAGTGCAGCTGGGCATCCAGGAGGTGCATGCAAGCATTTTCTACATCTAAATGCAGCAACAGTTGTCTTCCAAAAAATGAAAGGGCAAAGGAAAAGGAAATCCCTAGTATATTACGAGGATAAAAAAATCAAAGCAAGTAACAGTTATTACTGGATGGCTAATTTAAAAAAGGAAAGAAATGCATATTAATAAAAAAAAAAGTAGAAAAAATAAATATTCCTCATCAGTTGTCCTATATCGTCTACTCACTCTTAGAAAGTTTCCCATTGGATTATTCTTGAAATGAGTTCTGGTATGTTTCTTATTTTATCTGTCACACTTATTTATGGTTATAAAGTAGCMCCAGATGAAAACACTAAGACCAAATTAAATAGAACAGGAGAGATTTCAAACTGACTGTTAATTACATGTTGTAAAAGTTCTGTCTTTCCAAGAAAAAGCAATTTCCAACTTCCAAAACCTTGCTATTATTTTCATAACATAAAAAGTCCAAGGAAAATAAAATAAAATAAAAATTAAAGTTACAGTTTACTGTTTTTGAATAATGTTATCTACAAGTATAAGACAGACAACCCGTTAAATAGAAAAAAGATTTGTTTTACATAAAGCAAGAGTACAAAAGCACAGCTTTTGTAATTTTGGTAATATTGCAGTTTTACAAAGATATTGCATAGTATGTGTAAGAAAATAGTTTCCATCCTTTTATATATTTATATACACAAGAAAAGAATTAACATGGAAGTTACAAAATAAAACAAAAATGGTTAGCAGACTTTTACTCAGTACTAATTTAAACCATATGACACTTCAACTCTGATCCRATTTACATATGCATACACTGAAATCAGCTTTTTTAGTTAGAAAATGATTTAGAACCTAAGAAAAATAATAAAAACAATTACATGGTGTTAGCAACCAAATACCTTAAACATTCTCCATCAAGCTCTTTCAGTCAGTTATGGCTGTGTTTTGAACCCATACATAATAGCCCTCTCTCTGAAATGGTTTCAAGTGAATTGGGTTATACAGACAAGCCACTATGACAGCAAAACAAGGTGACTTCAGCTGAGGCAAGCAGCGTCCTGGCACATTCAATTTCAATTGCAATACACATTCTTCCCCCTTTTTTAAGAACACTGGAAGATCTGGTAACGTGTGAGCAGTGACGTAACTGTCCTACGCTGACAAGCAATTTCAACCCTGGGAAAAAGTGAACAATCTACAGCTTAAGATGCTGTACATATCTAGGCTATGTTACAATTTCATGTTGTAATTACAACTTCTTGTCTCTTCATTCCCACAGCATTAGGAGAAGCAACAGTGTCATAGTGTCCGTTATAGCAGAAGTGTCAGTCTTTGGTCTTATCACTTAACCAATAAATGAACAGCAATACAAAACCATACAGGTAACAGTGCTTGGAGAGATTGGTGGATGATTTATTTTTATTTTTTAAACAAGAAAGAGACAGTATCCTAATATATTGTGATACATACTTTTACAGAAGGTAAATCTATCGTATATATTAAATACATGTAGCTAATAAGGTCTTTTAATATATTTCACTTGTCAGAGGAATAGATCTGAAAAGATTGAACAGCTGTCATACCATCTTAGTGGCTCCAAAACGGATATTGTAGTACAAAAAGAAGCTTTATTTGATACATGTATTCATATATTATAAATAATCTCAAAGAAAAAACTTCAGACACTGATCTGTTTTTAATTGGACTAAAAATAGTCCAATGCTTAAAAATATCTTAATGTCTTCAATTTTTTTCCCAACACTTGTCACAACATAGTGATTTGTTAACTGGGAAACTCTTGCCCTAGATGAGATAAGTGACATCTCTTTTCTAAAATAACTGATCAAAATATTCAATCAGATAAGCACTCTAATTAGAGATATATTAGCTGGGGTTATAATCATAAGATGGATGTTAGATATTATAAATGGCCAACAAAGACTGAAATAACCTGGGCAAGAAATCTATGAGGAAGGTGACAAAAAATATTGTCGGTTCTCTACAGAAATGACCTTTATTTTATGCCTCATCATAAAAGCAGCACTGAAAAATTAAAGCTAGGGCCCCATGTTTTTACATCTCTTTGTGCTGAGATCTTTTACTTTCCTTCCACCAGAAATGTCATGTGTGGGGCTATGCCACTTTCCTGATGTTTTGGGGAGGCACTTTGAGCAGATGAGCTCAGAATCATTTTGCAAGAACCATGTGGTCACATGAGAGGCTTGTGAATATTGATTTGCTTTGTCATCTTCTCATCTACAGAGATGTGTACTGGTGAGGTTCTCACTACTGCTAGCTTCAAGCATTCAAAAATGTCAGGTAAACTTTGCTTTTCTTTCAAAAATGATGGTGCTGCTTATAAACAGTTTAATGCTGGGTTTCTGACTTTTTTAGTTCCCTTGGTGCACTGAAATCACTTTTCCAATACTTTTTGAAGTCATGTGGGCTAGAAATATTCTTCAAAGTAAAAAATGAGATTTTCCCCTTCTTATGAGTTTCAAGGAATTCAAGGTAAATATCAATAAGAAACTCATTAGAATATTGAGATTTCATGATAAATTTTTACACTGTGGTTGTGTCTATCACATAGGCTGCTGAATATCCCAAATACTCTCTAATTCTACTCATGCCAGAAATACTAGGGAGCAGACTGCAGTGATTCCCAGCAAGAAACTCCTGACAGTGCAGAGATATGTGGACTAAGTGTAGAGATAATATGGACTAATTGCCTTAGCTTTGTTGAGTCCAAAGTTCCACTCATACATGCCCTGAGTTTTCTTCATTTAAACCTTGGCCGTAAATTAATCCATTCTTGCTATTAAAAGTGAACTTGTAACAAAATAYTTTTGTTTTTCTACTTGCCCATCCTGACTCCCGGTTGCATTGAATGTATATAGTTGGGTAATAATCAGCTAGGGTGAAGAGCAAACAAATGAGAAATGCTCAATGGAAAATTCATGACAAAGGGTCTCCAAGCCACTCCTGCGGTCTTCAATTTGCAGAGAAAAAAAATCTTAGTCTGCTTGTGTGCAAATTGTAAGAAGGCAAAATATAATTCACTGAATATATCGGTCACTATAAGCTCTTTGTATATCTTTTAGATAACCAGTGTATGTCCGTGTGCACAGATAACAAATACATATGAATGCGCCCTTAAACAAATTCATATTATTCATCTTCATGACTTTCACAACTACATTCTGTGGTTTGTGTGCAGAGGAAAAAGGCATCTGTTTCCCTATATTTTTAGGGTATATATTATATAGCTTTAATATCTAAAGTGTTGTTATTCTATCCGTCACTTCTATCGCTGTKTCTGTCCCTCTTACAAARGRAAAAAAAAAAAGAAAAGAAAAAGGCTTCCAATCTATCTTCTTCTAATATTTTCTAATATATTTCTTTCTAAGTGACAGAACAGTATTCTCCAAGGAATAACAAATCAGTTACTAATAGCCTTCTTTTGAACACATGAAATAATCAGTGCAGAATCTTTGCTTAGCTAGCAGAAACAGCCAGTACCCAATTCTTGCTTGGGGGTAAAATTCACACCTCTGATGAGGGCCAACAGAAAGGCGAGCACCAGCCAAGCCATGACTTGTGCTGGTCTTCTGCATAGCAGTGAATTTCACCTGTAGTGAAAACAAAATCAACTTTTTTTTAGTAATAAAATAAAAAGATCATAATTATTTGCTCATTTTGACATCTTTTCTTCTAAAGAAAAACATATCGTGTAGCAATACCCACCTTGTACTGGTCACCCTATCTTAAGAGTTATCTTACAAAARTCATCATTGCATTGGTAATCCTATGTTCAGAAGCCTCTAAAGCTACATGCTAGATGATGTGATTTAAAGGATATTATTAAAAATCACACTTACCTGATGTAATCAAGCCATCTTCCACAATAGGAAACATTTTTATACTGTTTTACATTCCTGGGTTCTGCAAGTTTCAAGATAGTCTTGTTAATCAATGTTGTGATAAACTTAGCAGCAGCATACCAAAGCATCTCTTACAGGGGTTCAGCTACCAACAAAGCCAAACGACTGATAAAAATTGATATAAGAAAGTAAACCCACATCAAACTTGTCCAAAAAAGAATGAAAGCAGTGAAATCTGAGTGCAAACGAGGCTGCAAAATTTAAACACAGACTTGAYAGTCAATGTAACGTTAATGTACTTTTCAATACTGAATTTCGTTGAGTAAAGGGTAATACATATATTTATTACTATTACTTTGAAAACCTTATCAGAAAATGGTGAGGAAAAAAGAATAGTGAATGTGTCACTCCAGGTGTTAGGGCACTGCTTCGTAGCATCACACATGWGGTGAGTACTCATGTTTGTACTGTGTTCAAATGGCAGCAGGTAGTCATAGCTAGAAACTGGACAAGATGTACCTTTGAGGTTTTTTCCTCTTTTTTTTTTTTCCTTTTGCCAATTATAAATACCTTGTGGAAAGCAACAAACTGATCAACAATCATCCCACCAGTATTTTCCCTTTGCCCTGCTCTTCTTTTCCAGAAACTGTGTGTTCTACTTAAAGCACTCGCTTCACATGCAGTAGCCACGACACTACTATATAAGGCCATTCAGATCGGACAGAGAAGAGCAGATGTCTTTTTAGCTCTGAAAGATAATATTGCTGAGCACTTTCAGAATTTACCTAGTGTACAAAACCCTAGACCTAGAAGACAAAGAGTAACAACACACTTCTTTTAAAGAAACCAAACTGAGTGAGGGATTCTGTCTCTTTTTGTGTTAAAAACCATTTACTGAATTTAATTGTTTAGTAAAGCAAGCATCACACAATGCTTCAAAATTTTAAAATTCAGGGATAAAAGTTTACATCCAAAAAGATGAATGGAAAATTGTGCTTTCAGACAGTAAAGTTATTTAACATACAGGGGTTACCAATTCATCTCACCATTGGAATCTGGGCAAATTTGTATATGTACTGTATATATATGTGCAGTTCATATCCAGGTCCTGCAAAAATCTAAAACTATGTGCTTCACTTCATGTAGCAAAGGCACCTGTGTTATTCTCCCTTTTGGACAAAAGGTGATATTATGATCCAGGTTTCCTGATGAAGAATACATGCTGAGTATCTGACTCCCGTCTCTACGCTGAGTGGTACCATGAACCACGAGGGAAGGCAGCGCTGTATTCCTGCTTACACTGGAAGAAGTTGCTCTGCAGGCCATTTGAAGCGTCGAACTTGTCACAAGGGAAACCGAGCAGAACTGTGAAGCAGAGGGATAGTAACAAAAGGCTATTCTGGTGTGAGGATAAATTGGAGTCTTTTTAGCTCCACAAGCAGATGTTGCTACTGGATTGACATGTGGAGCCTGCTCCTGCCGGAGACAGGTAAAGTTTACCATTAGGACAGACGCAGAGCTCATAGATAGTCTGGCGGGGAGCTGAGGAGCTAGGTGGAGAGGAGGAGAAGGAACCCGTCGGCAGATTTCCCAGGCGGATTGTATCTGCGTTTAGAAAGATCTACAAGGGGGAAAAAGAAGGAATAAGTATGCACCTTTCAGAAACGCAACATAACTTAAAGACGTATTTTGTGGTAATCATGAGGTTTAATTTAATGTATTCCTGTCAACATTTCTTGTTTTTCAGCTTTGTGGAATTGTATATCCATTAGTACTTATTAATTCAGCATATACAAATTCTTCTTAAGTCTTAACCTAACATATTTATTCAGATAGAAGCAGCATTATACAAAACATTTTGACAATATTTTGAACAGGYTGAATTTTCACTTGTACATTTTATGATATAAATGTATTCATTCATGGCAGCTGCATATCTTAACTCTGGAGGAATCTGTATTTAAATAAGTGTGAAGCAATATTAAAGCACATTCCCTAGTGTGTTCCTGTAAGCAGCAGGAAATACATGCTGAAGTGTGCTAAATTGCAGGGGCTTAACAATCACTACAGTCAGAGAATAATTAAATAAGGATAGAATCATACACACAAAATAAAGAGCTTATTTGACCTAAATGAAGGGAAAAAAGATCTCAGGTTAAAGTCTTATTAAGAGGGTCGTCAAGCTATTCTCATTTGTTTCTGAACATTGAATATGATTAAAAAAATGTTTTTTGTTTTTTTTTCTTTCCACCTCTTTTCACTGAAAGTAATAAGAGAGAATACGAAACTGTAAACACARGAAAGGCTAACACTCATGAATTCGTATGGAGTTCTCTAATGTTATATTTATATTGCATTTGCATGATGCCGAATAAGCAACATCATGATATTGAATAAATAAAGGACAAAATCACCAATAATCCCACTGCAAAAAATAGAAGAGTTTCCAGCTACTCTGAGTTTATTTTTTATTTATGGAGGGACTAAATGAAAGCCAAAGTGAGATCAGTCATCCTYAGATGCACACCAGGAATTTCTGGAAGAGGTAACAAACCAGAATGGCTTTAAGCTCTGCACAAACAGCATGAAGTTCACGAGCAGGTGAGCTCCCAGAATACTACCTACTGAGTTTATAAAGCATTGGAAATCAGCATATCCAACCTAACACCATACTATCACAGTGTTGTTCCTCACAGCACATGTGAAGAACCTGGGAAGATAGGACACGTATTCTGCTGTCTTGTACAGGAGACAAATATGATTTAAGGATAAAACCAGCTGTAGACATCAAAAAGCAAGGCAGAAACTGTACCAAATCAGCCTTCTTTGGGAGACAGTCAAGAAGATCCTATACTATCAAGGCAAGAATAAAAAGGAAGAGGAAAAAAAGTGGCATTCATTTCATTTTGAAATTGCTAAAAAACAGATTTAAAAAAAGGGAGAATTTGTTAAACTCTTGCCCTGACTGATAGAGGAATTGAAAAAAAAGCAGCAAATGATTATCCTTGTTCTGTAATTCATATGGGAAAGGAATAATTTCTTTACTCACACATACACTCATGGCTGCTTTTGAAATCCTACTTCATAAAACTCATAAACCTCATAAAATTAGGAGTCAAGAGCCCACCAGAAATAATTTAGATGGAATAAATGTGGATGATGTTGGCAACAATTTAATAATGTTCTATGACAATTACAACTGTAAAAGAATATTACATACAGAAAATGATCAGCTCAGGCAGAAGCAAAAACTACTATAGCAAGTATTATTCAAAAAAAAAAAAAAGGAAAAAAAGGGGGAATTTCATAGCAACTAGAAGCTAGTAATTGGTAAAACATATGCAGGAAAGGAAGGACACACTTGTCCATAGAGGCTTTACAAATAATAAAAAGTAATTTGTCACTTCTCCTATCAGGAAGAAATGAAATCCTAACAAGTAGCCTTCCACAGTACAATTCTACTTACACTACGTCTACGTACAGGTGCATCTTTTTAATGGATTGTCCTCAACATAGTTCTATACTTGCCGAAAGATCACGTATTGATGTCAGAACATGATAGTGATAAAATACTTCCAAATTCAGCAATAACTCCCCAGGATATCACACAGCAGCTGTTGTTATACACTGTTAACTCCAAATAACTTGGATCAAATGGTTCTAAAAAATACATCTGAGTAGCGTTTTGGACTTCTAATGTTGATTTTCAATAAGTATTAAAGCCTACTCTGTCCATATGCTTTCAAAGTTATTATTATTAAAGATCTAAACTTTAGAGATGCAACACTATTATCCAACAGGTAAACACGGGATGCACATATTACAGCATAAGAGACAAATGTGTACTTAAGAGGACCACAGTCCACACTTTGGGACCTCCTTCCCCACTTTCTTCTGCTGAAAACTGAAATCTCCGCCTGAAAAAATCAGTAAAACTGAAACTGCAATTACGTCTTTACACATGCTGGCATATAAAGGTGTATAAGGAGAAGACATACAGTTAAAGYAAACACTGAAGAAAATTATGCTCCCAAGGACCACTATTACTAAAGGATAATAGTTAATGGGAGTTGCCTATATACATATCTTTTGTGCTGGGAAAGCTATGAGATAAAGCATTTAATACTTCATAAGCATCAAGGCTGCGTGACCCAGTAATGCTCTTCCTGAGATTCTCGCAGCTCAGCAGATAAATGAGCAAAGATAAAACTGAAACTTTTATTCATCCTCCTTGAAACATTGTAGGAGACTGAGAGATTGAAAAGGCAGCAGCTATACTTCATTTCAGGTATGAAATGCTATTTCATACCAGAGAGCAGAGCATTTAGCAGGAACATTTGCTTTCTATTTAATTACTTACATTTTAGAAATCCTAGGTCACTGTTTTCTGTCCTGTGTAATCTTACTGCTGAGAAAAATATATTAGTACTAAACTACTTGTAAGTAGACCAGTTTTTTGATTTATTAAAATAGCAGACTGAATCTGCCTGCAGGTCATGTGGTAGGAATGGAAAAATTGTATTCGTTTTACATTGTTTTAATGTGTTACCTATTTTATATGAATGTAATTTCTGCTTGCACATTTTTAGCAGGGCTGTGTGAGTACTGCTGGAGAGACAGAAACAGCAAGAAGAAGAAATGTAATGTGCCTAAATTATTTCTGTTTTTAAGGAAATCAGAATGAAATATTCAGTAGATTTTTTGGTCAAGTATTAATAACTTAACTTTTTTCTACACAGTATACAGTTGCGATGCATAATTCAGATAGGTTTCTTATTTCTCTATTTTGCAAAAGAAGAGTTCACAGGTGTCCTGCGTATTAAAGGAAATGTCAAAGGATGTATAACCRAGTGTTTGGCCTCTGTTTAAAATGTTTGCAATCAATTATTTCTATGAATTTTCATAAATCTCTGAAGGTAGTTAAGTCATTTGTCACTCTGTGGTGATGGTGATATTTAATGGGGTCAAGAACACGTAGAAGAGCATAGGCGTACGCATCTGCAAAGAAATGTCAAAGACTAACCAACCYGGCAAATCTAGCTAGTCCTATATTGTGCCTTATAAATTCATCCTGTGAAACTGTACAGAAAATCAATGTTGTCAGTGATATTTGTTACCTGAGATCTGCAAACCATCTGCTTATCAGATTGTGGCATTAACCTAGCTGAGGAGAGAAAGGGCAAGCTAGAAAGACAAAATAGAATATATATATTATCTACAAAATATAGACTAAATTTAAGGGGACAACTTTCAGTAGGCAAAAGGTAAAAAATCAAATATTCATATAGTCATTTACAACAGAAATATGAATGTGCCATGTATGTAAGTTCTACAGTGGGTCTTATACTAAGTCTGCTCAATAGACGAGATGGACTAAGTAGAAAAAGTTAAATGAGACTTTTTGTGTGTTGTTTAAGATTTATAAAGATGGGAGAATTCTCTGTATTCACTGAAGGATTTGGTCAGATAAATAGCCCCAGGGAAGCTGCTAAGGCAGATTCAGATTTAGTAGGGTAGGAAAGGTAGGAAGGGTAGGAAGGGTAGGAAAAAAGAAGGAAAGCTTCAGAAGAAAATATAAGCTCAAATATATATTACTATTTCTGATTTATAACAGCAATGCAACATAAATATATTGAGGGCTACCGATTTTGCAGCTCTAGTAGCAATGCTGTGAAAACTTTCTTGTGTATTTATTCCTGTTATAATGGAAATCATGCCAGGGCCGATCAGTGGTGGTATTGTGAATGTTAAACAGTGTTTACAAGCTCTAATGTTTATGAAACGCCAATGATAACCTCATGCACAAAAATTTTTAGAAAGAAATTTTAAATTCCATTTCTGGGTTGCTTGTACTGGAAGTATTTGCAAATCCATTCAATCAGAGGACAGATGTGATTCATCTGTGATTTATGCAACCAGCGTAGAAAGGAAAAAAATGCTTTGGGAATATTTGTGCTCAGTCTACTGAATACAAAACTATATTAATTACCATTCAAATCAGAATTAGATTAAAATGTGATACTCATGGAAAAACCATTCATAGATMAATTATTCATTGTCACTTCTTTTTCTCTTCCTAATAAAACTGCTTATGGTCTTCAAAATGTAGCTGTGAACAAGTAATTCAGAGAGGGGTGTTATCAGTTAAAAGACTTGGCTCTTTTAGTTTTGGAACATCTTGTTTTCATTAGGGACAACAACATAAAAGTGTTTTCTACAGTAAATTAACTTAGAAATGAAGAACAATTGTAAACTGAAAAGTTTACTTAGGAAAATCTCAGAATATTTTGGTAGTACTAAATCTCCATCAGTATTTCTTAACAGAAACATTTAAACCTGACCTAACAGGAGAATTAATTATTTTAAAACTGGAGAAATATTCCTTCACTTCCACAAACCACACAGCTCACTTTTCCCAGGTAAGAGCGACAGTTTAAAAGGGTAAAATTCMAAAAATGGCTTTCAAAGCAAAATATGGCATACAACTGCTAGGCAATTCTTTTGTTTATTCACCAAATCTTTTGGTGAATAAACTGTGGATCCGTGAGCTCTACAATCAGTCACTGCTCTTTATTATTGAACTTAGTTCACCTATATCATGATTTAAATTTGTTTTTGCAAACATTTCATCTCAGACAAGCATAAGTTTGCTGAAATGAACTATTCTAGGAAATGCTGTTGTCTTTGGCCATTCCCTTCCTTCGTAGTTGTGGCAAATGGCATGCGGGACACACTAGCTCCAATCCAGAGTATTTAGATAATTAAAAATCCCTTTCCTCTGCTTCAGAACAGAAGAACAGTTACAAAATGCACAAGAACAGAGCTTCAAAATTTGGCTTACAATTGAACTACTCCAATATTATTAATCTCAAAGTTAAATACATCTTCTGGACTTACTGAGAGATCTGGATAGGGCTGTATGTCAGATATTAACACTAGTGCATTTGTCAATCAGTCTCTACAATACGACCATGGCATATACCTCACCGAAATAAGCTGAGTTACCTGAAAATAGTAAGGTCAATATAAGCTTGCCCTCTTGCCTGCTACACTTTCTTTTTTTCAAAGAGTATTGCTCATTTTTAATGCGACAGCTGTAGGTTGCATCCAGGGATCTGCCTCATTATGCTAGAAACAACCAGATCCAGGGCACCAACCATGCAACTCAGGAGCACAAGCTGACAAGGAACAAGGGGATAAGCAAACACGTAGGAAAAGGTCACAGGCAAGGTGACTAATATGAGTATGTTTGTAATGACGAGACACCTCTGTGTGCCTTTCTCCTTATCTCTACTGGACCTTTGCTAGTAGACAGGATGCCACTCAAGTGCTGGGCCTGCCTTGCATAGGGAGACGACTGCAGAAATACACGGTAGCTGAATGTGAAAGAACTTGCATATAGGCTCAGCAAGACCCTTCTCCTTCAGAGGGAGATGTATTGTGAAAATCACTAAAACTCTATCTTGAACCAGTGAGTCAAMCCTATCAAATAATCCTTTAAGCTTGTTATCATCATGTGATTGCATATTTTGGATTTATTTTTACATATTATTGTGCATTTGCAGACATAGCAAAATCTAGCATCTAAAACATGCAAACATGATCTGTACTTTTGCATTGTGTTTATATGAGGGAAAAAGTATCAGTCAACTAGAAGCCCTTGTGCTGATTTTCCAGGCAGGAAAGGTTCTTTCTCCTTTAATGTAAACCAGGAGAATCTGCTAGAGCCTGGAGCTTCGCATTTCATTTTGCTTGTAAATGACTGCAGCTTTAAACCATTGGTTATGGTTTATTTATAGAATAATACAGAGTTCACAATTAAATGCCAAGCTGTAATTGAATCAAGGGATTCTGCTGATGCCTCGACTCACAAGGGCGCAGCTCAAGCGCTCCATGAAAGGGCAGCAGACCTGGGTCTAAATTACAGGCCCCAGTACTCAGTCTGGGATCATGCATTATATTCTGCAATATGGCTAAAAGGATTACTATAATTCTGCAATAAATAAAAAGTATCAGACAGCAGAATTCAGAATGCTTGCAGAGGCTTTCTGTTTGTGATGTGGGAGGCTAAAGATTATTCTGTATGAAAAATAAGGCTAGAGGAAAAGTATTTCGTAAACACATTTGTTCTTCAAAAAAAAAAAAACATTCTGAAGTTGTTATTTCCTTTCTTTCATAGATTAATCTACAGTAAATTCATAATGTTCTGCTACATGGTTATAACTGATTGATTCCAGATGCCACATAACTATTTCCTGGCATAAGAGCACAATAATTATGCTATAGATGGAAAATATTAATTTATCTATCTTTGATGATTTATTGAATAAGCTTACAAACATTAAAATGTTAAATTTATTTAATCAATATAAGAATTATACAAAAAGCGCATTTTCTTCGTATAAAAAATCTTGCCACAAAAATGGTTCATTCACAGATCCAATTCACAGATCCAATACTCTTCTACTCACATAAAAAGCCTGGCTGTTAATGCAATTGTCTTCAGGCTGAAATGAAAATTACTTTTGACATACAAACTTTGTTTTGTGTTAGAATGCGCTTTCCTAATAGCATGTTATGATAAACCTTGTACACTTTTTTTCCATCCTATCTATCAACATTTGGTGTATCCATGGGGGTCTCAACAACAGCACCAGCTAATATGTATTTTTATAGAGATGTTTTTCTTTTAGAAACTAGTTTTAGTCCATCATATGTTTACTCTGTGTCCTTACACCTTATTTATATTAGTGCATTCATTCTCTAAAGTGGCTTGCATTGTCAGTAATGTTATGGATGCCCAATTGGAGCTGATATCTAAAGAAAATCAAAATTCATGCAATAAACTCACAAATAAACTCATCTCTCTCCTTAATAAAATATTCTTGTATTGTTTGCATTTTATCAGGCAGAACTATACAACCTATCTCTACCAGCTGAACTTACCTCCCCTTCTGTGGATTGTAAGTGCAGCTCTTTCCTACAGGTAGCCTTTAAGTCTCCTGCAGCTGCATTGACTTGCACTCCCCTGGGTGCTTCCATCACCAAAGATCTAGTAGGAGATTCAAGTCTGAAAGACAAAAACAGTCCCTGAGGAAAAAAAAAAATTACCTATCCATATCACTGTAAACTCATCCAGATCTAAACCCCACAATATACCTAGATAGAAAATCTATTTTGAAAGATAAAGTAAAAATGAATTGCTAAATGTCTGATTCTTTCAGTAATTTCTATGGTCAATAAAAGGAAAAGGACTTCAGTACATGTTTAAATCCATTTCTAGTTARTTAAGTCTGTCTTTAAGCATGCTTGCTTAGTGAGGCTTTCCAGAATATCGTACCTAATTTGCTTGACTTCACTAACACTAAAATATTGATACTTAAGATTCCACATATCTTGGAGTGCTACTGTAATGACAAGTTAATAACTAAATTTGGCTTAGGGATGGATGACAAATACTCATTTAAATAAAAACAAAACACTTCTTAGAAGTTTTAAATAATGAATGAGTTTTAAAACTAAATGTATTACAATGACTTTGCCTTGGCAGGATTAGTTGTGCTCTAGGAAAATGTAGCAGTGCTATGTAAGAAGAAGAGGAAAAAAGAAAAATGTCTCTATTTTTGTTATTTTTGTATGTAATTTTTCTCTTCTGCAAAATAAACTTTATCTTCTTCAATGCTGTTATAATCTTAACATTCTCACTATTTCTCCTCAGTGCAGCTCTTGCTATTCTTTTGCCTTTTCTCTGTATTCTGTAGTCATGATACTTGATCAATGGTAATGAAGAACTCTACTATTTATCAGGTTTCTCTTGAAATGGAAGTACGAGTGCAAGGAGTTTGTAAAAGTGGAGCTGACATACTGAATAGCAAAGATGATCACACTGAATAGCAAAGATGATCAGAGGAAAACTACTGAACTGGAAGCCAAAAATTTGGATTCTAGCTGAGTTCAGGCGTAGACTTATTGCAGAGTTCTTTTAAGAGCGAAACAAATCTCTTAATCTATTTATATCTCATTTCCTCAGGAATACAAAGACAGAACAGTTCCACTTTACTTGAACAAAGGCTGTTTGTAAGATGAAATGTATTAATGATGGCTAGGGGGCTAGAATGAATTGCTGGAAGAAAACATTGCCTTTCCCTCTGTTAAAGAGGGAAATTACATTTTGATTTTTTGGGTTACATTCACCCCACACTGTGATGCATTATTAGATGCATAAAGAAACAAATATTTTGATAAAGTATTTGCTAGAGAAAAGCCAAATGAAAGATCAATAAATCAAAGGAATAACAGAATTTCAGTGTATTTCAACTATTGAGCTTTTTTTTAGAGAAGTTGTACAGAATAGTGATATATGACCAGTTGAAACCAAAATCCACACTTGCGTGCAAAGCAAGTCACTGACATAGCGTCTATGAAATGCTTCTGATTGTTACATGGTCATTGACACTCAAAGCAGGAAAAAAAGAAAAGCAATTATTTTGCAGCACAAAACCAGACTGTTAGAGTACATCATTATTTGTAGATGCCCATTAAAAATGAACAAATGCAAAATGTGCATCTACTGAAGGAAGTAAAAACATTTTATCAAAGATGCAGTTAATATTATGCATTTGATTAGGTCTCATTTATGAAAAAATGAAGCAGCAGAACTGTTTGATTATCAAGATTACGACAAGTGTAATGGCCAAAAAGAGATAAGAAACAAGTAAATGGAATTAAAAATCAAAAATTCTTATTTGATTTTTTTWAAAAAAGATATTCCTAGAGGTCTCTCTACCAGATGCTTTCATTTCTTTTTTGATAATTATATTATTATAATTAGAAACAGTAATTTATTTTTGCATTTGTATATGCCAATCCATTTTCTTTTTTTCCCCAATTTTTTGTGATTATGCAGAAATCAATATAATATTTTATGGTTATTTGCACCACTGAAGAATCTAAGTATCATGAATCATTCAATTATCAGTCATCAACCAGCATCGGTGTTTTCAAGAAACTGGTCTGTGAACTAGCAATTTCTATAAAGCAGCAGAAAAAGATACAGAAAACCCTTTAGAGAAGATGTATCTACACTAGAAAAATAAACAAACAAACAAAAACAAAGAGAAACCTAGTTTTGATTTATTTGCAATGAATGCGGCATAGGATTAGACTAAAATTATATCAGAGAATACTTAGAAGCCGTGATATAGATAAGAAATGATGTATATCTGCTTTGCGCATCACTTCCCATTTGCCATAAATCATGAAATATTACATTATATACAAATTAAATATCAAGTAAAAAAAATCTTTATTGTGGCATGTCAGTTTTTAAGCCTGTGTTTGGACTTTGTTAAAAGGGTGTATGTAGTGGGGAAACCAGCAAGAATTGCCATAGGAATTCATGTCATACAACTGCAATCTACTCAACAAACACAGGTTAGATCTGTAAAAATCTTATTTCAGTTACACTAGAGTGSTCCAGCACTCTGGTGAAAAAGAGGTTTCAAAACCAAAAAATAACAGACATTTAGTTATTGTTCTTTCAGTTATCATATAAATTCTAAACATAAGGTCTTCAACAAGCACTGTTTTGCTTTAAGTAGGTTTTACCATGAATTCAAAGGAAATTGATTTGTGTGGATGTAGAATTATTGGGATACTTCTATTCCACGTTTTTCTATAGCACATTTTTGTAGTTTATAAATTACTTTTCCAGAGTAGTTACATTTCCCACTGGTTTCAGATGCAACTTCTTAATCAAAAGTGCCCTCAGTTACGTTTACCACACTGGCATTAGAAAAGCTGTAAAATTTCTGGTATAGTAGCATCAGAATTATTCTCAGGCTCGACTGAAATTTTCCAGCTGTCCATCTGGAAGATGTCTTTCAAAAAGGATAACTTTGCTATACAATTACACACTGGCTTTTTTTTTTTTTTTTTTTTTTTTNTTTTTTTTTTTTTTTTTTTTTTCCCCAACCAATGCCAGGATGTAGCTCACAACTGTTTTCTCCAGTTCCATCATGCTTTTTTTTTGTTTTCTTTTTTTCTTTTTCATGAGCTTTGTTGACTTAAATGATTGCCAGTTGATTTAAAATGTAGATGCTGGATCAATTAAATTCTGAAATTGAAATGAAGTTGTTACTATGAGATAAGTATACACTTGGGAGTACAAATTCAGCATTTTCAGAAGCAAATAGATATTTTAGGAGTTTCCTGAAAACATATAAATAACGTGTTAGAAATGTCAAGAAATAGTCAATGATCTAAGAAGTCATTTTTAAAACACCTGCCATCTCTTAGTAAAGGTGCATGCCTACGTCTGTTTCATAATTAGTAATATATATTTTTCTTTTTGTACTTCTGATGAACTACATCTGAAAAGTGGTTTTGCAGCTGGACAACTTTACCAGCAGACTACTGGTAATGCAAAAGCCTATATACACAGGGAGATTATTTTCTCAGTGTTTGGAGATAAATTATTTCTGATATATGCTTGCTTCACAATTTGTTCCTTTGTCAGATTTTGAAAGCTTTAATCTCTACTATGAACTTATTGTAACACTCCATGTTGTAATATCCTCGGCAGAAATAAGAGAGCACTATGAGAATAACATACCAAAAAATTGCTTTCCTTTCAGATTTACTGACAACCTTTCAAAGTAGTGTTTACTTCTATAAGTGAAAATTATTCATGTAATATAATTCTTCCCAAAACTACAAAGAGCCCTGGTGAAGAAGGTAACTAGAGCTATTAATACCTTGAAAGAACCACAACTGTAGGAAAAATAGAGAGGCTTTTAAAACAAGCTTGTTTCAGCAACATAATTATTCAATTTTCCATACAAGATTCAGATAGTCTCTCTAGAGCACAGGAAGGGTTTTTCTTCTTTTAATTATCAACAGTTAATTTGTCAAAAAACATGAACTTCAGAGGATCAATGTTTTATGAATTTGAGTTGAATTTATTTTGAATTATTGCTAAGAAAGGAAACTTTTCAAAATTAATTGAATATTTTGCTTTGAAGTTACTTAGACATTTCTCATCAGRAATGCAGAAATATTTATGTCTTATTCCAAAATGCCACTTGCTATTTACAAACTGACCCAGATTGAATGAGAGAAAAATAATTTAAAAAATGAAACAAAACCTTTAATTGAGGGGTTTAAGAAATATTTTAGATTAACTTCTTATGCATTCCTCCTACTCACAAGGGATATAATTTATCTATGTTAGTTTTGCTCTGTTGGCTAACAGAAGATAATTCTTAAAATAGAATGAAATAATTATTTGCATTTGCATAGAAGAATCTGTTTGCTTCACGTCTTTTTAGGCAGGGRATAAAATGAATATGACATCTGAATTACTTTCTCTTTCCAGACTTTCTACCTCTAGCAATATGCAATTTGTACGCAAAAGGTAAAATTAAAAAATATGCTGCCAACTAAAGAATGCACAAGATCCATTGCCTCTTCACCTGCATCCCGCACCTGCCCCCTTCCCAGGTGTTTCACATTAAAAAGCACTGTTCATCTGCATACCCCACAGAACTTAGGGCCTTCTTCCTTCAGTGAAATTACTTTGTGCCCAGTTGGAGTGAAGACCTACAAAATAATTTCGAAAATCTTGTGCTCCACAGAACTTAAAGGATTTAAAATATATTATCTCATTCCTATTATTCTATTAGTTCATATCAAAAGAACTACTGTCTGCCTCTGTGCTCCAAGAATTGGCCAAAAAAACCCAATCAACTAAGCCAAAAAAAATTTGGGGGGCTTTAAACTTGTAGCTCCATTGCAGGCATGTCTTCATGAGCAGAATTGCCCTGGAAAAAATAAATGCTGCAGTGTTCTAGGAGCTTCAGAGCTCTAGGAGCTTCCAGACTACAGAGGACTCATATTTTCTCAAAAAAAATTCAAAGACAGTAATATGATCCCCTGTGATACTTCTTTTTTGAGTATTAATTTTTCTTTAAAGAGTCACTGTTCAATCAGAAGTTCCTTGTTTAGCTGTATTTGTCACTGCAGTGGGAATACTGTCAAAATAAAATTATTCAATCATTTTAATCTCATTCA